GTTTTCTTTTGGGTATGTGAACTTGTTTACCAAAAGTATACTACTGGGCTTGGGCGGGAAAGCAAGCATACATCTGAGTTTTAAAAACAAGTTTCAATATGCATTCAAAATAAGCTTCAACCTACACTTAAAACAAGTTTTAACACACAATTATGAACTAGATGGTCCTTGAGCTCCTCAGCTGTATCAGTTAAGCCCTACGTAGAGTTCTTGGTCCTTTTCGTTTTGTTTGCAACTTCTTGTCTTGGGCTACTAGCTGCAGAGGAAAAGGCTTATCCATCTTAGATTGCCTTTACCAATTTAACTTTCCTTTGAATGTAACATTATTTATCGAGTGCTAGGAAAGGTGTGTGGTAGGGAGCAGGACATGAGGAGAGCTTTCTGTGTGGCAAAAACACAAATATCTGTGGCCTATGTAAGAGAGAAGTATGCTTAATATAAAAGTCTGGCAGGTGAGTCAGCACAGCTGTGACCCCGACAAGGTCTGGAATCTGCCCCTGTACCTCATGAAGCCTCTGTCCCAAGCCAGCAGCTCCCATGTTCTAGGGAGCAGGATGGAAGAAGGATGAGGAGGGAGCCATGAGTATGTGCACGTCACCTCAGAAGACACATCTCAGGAAGCTGACCTCCGTCACCTACTTGTCATTGCTGGGAATTCCATCACATGGCCCCACCGGGTGGAACAGAAAGCTGGAAGGTGGTGTGTTTGGCCTGGATGGCCATATACCCACTCAAAATACTATCATTTTGGAAGAAGGGCAGAGCAGACACCTGGGAGATGTGTCAGTCTCTTCATTTGTAATTAAGGTGGAAAGTAAGTTGTGGTAGAGTCCTGATTGTCGGCAGAGGTTTATGATGGTGACATATATTGCTAGAGAGAACGCATAAGGAAGAAAAGTTTTGCAAAGGAGGTGGGGAGTCCACCTTTGGACTGAGTCGAGGACATTGAGTTGAGGACACGGAAGCGTCTGGGAGGCAGGTGGGCATGTGGATCTGGGATTCCGATGGGTGGTCAGGAGTTAAGATAGATTAAGGTGTGAACACTGCAGAGGTGTCGTCAGGACCATGGGTGTGGATGGCATTGCCCACCAGCATCGAGACATGCAGAAGGAAGATCCAGGAGAGCCCTACCAGGCCATGTTGAATGTGGCCATCCTGGAGATGGTGTCGAGGGAGCAGAAGGAAAATGACCTCAGGAAGGAGATGCAGCAGGGTTGAGAGGAGTCAAGGGAAGCCTGGAGACTGTTTACTCACAGAGGCACCTTGCTTGTTTTGTGCAACAACCACCTCGAGACATAGTAGCTTAAAACAGGTTTGGGCTAGGCACAGTGTTTCATGCCTGTCATCCCAGCATTTCGGGAGGCCGAGGCAGGAGGATTGCTTGAGCCCAGGAGTTCAAGACCTGCCTAGGCAACATAGTGAGACCTCGACTCTACAAAAAAATGCGAAAATTGACCTGATGTGATAGTGTGTGCCTGTAGTCCTCGCAACTCAGGAGGCTGAGGCGGGAGAATCACCTGAGCCCAGGAGGCTGAGGCTACCATTCTTGCCTGGGTGCACTTGTACAGTTGGCTGATGGCTCGCCTGTGGCTGGAGGAGCTGTGATAGAGTCTTGGATCTCTCTCCACATGGCTCTCATGATTCAGTAGACTAGCTGGTGCTGAGTCGACCAGCAGTGTGACCTCGGGGCAAGTTACTTTACCTCCCTGGACCTCAGTGTCCACATCTGTCAGTGGTGATAGTTATACTGATTGCATCATAGGGTTGTTATGAGGATGAGATAGAAGATAATGTCTGCAGGGACCTCAGCCTTACTTTACGTGTGTTATGTGTATCTGGCTGTATGAATACAATCAAATAAGGGCCGTGCAGTGGCCCACACCCATAATCCCAGCACTTTGGGAGGCCAAGGTGGATGGATGACTTCAGGCCAGGAGTTTGAGACCAAACTCAGTGAGACTTTGTCTCTACAAAAAAAAAAAAAAATAATAATAATAATAATAATAATAATAAATCAAATAAGATAAATGTGTAAATATATGGTCAGTAAAGTACAAAAGAATGTTAGACAAGGTGATATTTGGCAAGCCTGAGGAGGAATTGCATCCTTATAAGGAGGGGAATTCTCACATACATGTGTGTGGGCGAGTGTGTGTGTGTAAGGATATACATGGTGTTCGGGAAGAGGAATTTTACTTGATTTTTACTTACTCCTCTTCTGGTTTCCACTGTCACAGTCAAAAGCAGTGTCAGGATTGGCAGTAGATTCTGAGAATCCTTTATCTATGAGGAAGTTTAATCATGAATGCTTGGATGGACAGATTTATCTCTTTAAGAAATGAATATTTAAGTTATACTGTCTTAAAATCTGATAGCATCTTTTAAAAGTCTAATAAATTGGCTGTGCTTGGTGGCTCAGCCTGTAATCCCAGCACTTTGGGAGACCAAGGCAAGTGGACTGCTTGAGTCCACAGGTCCGAGATCAGCCTGGGCAACTTGGTGAGACCTCGTCTATACAATAAATCAAAAATTAGTTGGGCATGGTAGTGCACGCCTGTGGTTGCGGCTACTTGGAAGGCTGAGGCGGAAGGATTGCCAAAGTCCAGCAGGTCGAAGCTGGGATGACCGAGAGTGTGCCCAGCCTGGGCAATGGAGCAGGACTCCGACTCAAAAAAAAAAACAACTACCATCTAATAAATTAAATTGATAGTTAAATAGATTCATGGTTTATTATTCCAGTACCACAGCTAAATTACTACATTTTTATCTTTTCCCAAAGCAAACCAAAACAGTGCCTCTTTTATCTATTTCCTTTAGCATGAAAGTGTTTAAGTTTGACGTCTAAAAATTATTAAAATTGTTTAATGTATGCAAAAGTAGATGTGTGTAATAAAAGCAACAATAAAGATTAATTAACAGTCATCCATATGTCTACTACCAGCCTTAAGAAAAAAACTAAGACATATATAATAAATTGTGATGTATTCTTTTAGCGATTTAAAAGCATATCTTTAACTAAATTTTAATAATAAAATTCAGAAATGGTAAAAAGGTATTTTTTTTATTCATACAGTATTTCAAAAGAAAACAATGGTGGTTTCTTTCTTCAGTATCAAAGTGTCATATTTATGGTTTTCCCAACTCATTGTAGAGAGAAATGTTTCTGTTCTCCTTCTCTGATGAAAAATAGTCCTGGTCTCAGTCTTTCAACATCAAAGGCTCATCATTCTCCCAAAATGTATTTGTTCCTGTGATTCAAGGTAACAGACACAGCTTGAGCGCCTGCTGAGTGCCCAGCTTCAGACCTGGTGCCAGGTAGCCAGAAGTGATTAAGTGCTCCTCTGTGCAGGGGTGGGGGTGGGAGGAGTGAGTTGTGGATACAGGTCCCCAGGACAGCAGGTGGCATTGCAGGAAACCCTGCCCTGGACAATCCCTGAAGGTCCTCCCTGCTTGGGAGGAAGCTTGGGGCTGCTGGGGTCTCCCCAGCTCCCTCACTCTCCAGCCCACCTTCCTCTTTGCATTCCTGGTGTGTGGCATGGGGGCTGGACAGGCACAGAGTAGGTTCCCAGGAAGCACCCTAGCACAGACACATCTTGTGGGCCTCCAAGGAGCTGCAGGAGCTGGAGAAGAAAGTAGCACGCATAGAAGGCGGCAGTCCCGCACTCCCACAGTCTCCGGAGCACACGACGTGATAGAGTTGTTGCTTCTGTTTCAGACATGCTCTGTCCTCTTTCCTAGGACATCGACAGCTCGGACTACAACAGGTGGTGTGAGTACATCATGTACCGGGGGCTGATCAGGTGAGCACGTGCCTAGGATTTTGATTTTTTCCGTGTATTATTGCTATGATCTTCTGGGTCTATCACCAGAAGGAAAAACTTGACGGGAGCAATTGATTTTTGTTACTTTTTATAAACATTGATTCTGCTAGTTGCACAGTTCAAAATTTTTTTTTCCGAGACATGGTCTTGTGACTTATGAAGGTATAAATTGCTAAGTGAATTCAGCCTAGTTACATCACGAGGTCATCAGGTGAGCTATTAAGCACTGTAAGTGGCATTGGTATGTGCTCAACTTGGTACCGTACTGGAATGTGGTTGTGGTGAGCTAGGGAATGAGGGCGTCCTGGGCTTGAATTCCAGTTCTGCCAGCTTCAAATCCATAACCCCGACTAAGTTCACGCACGGCTGCAGCCACTACTAAACTGTGGAGAGATGGTAAGGTGAACTATGTATTTAAAAATATTATCTCATGAAAATGTTACCCAAATGTGTCACAGCTGCATGTGGCTGTGTTTACATGTGTGTCTATGCATGTTTTACTTGATAATGTATTTGGATATAGACATGTGCTGTGTAATGGCATTGCAGTTGTGATCTCAGAGGCCTGCATGTGCAATGAATGTCCCACCAAATTCTAATGCCATGCTTTTACTGTACTTTTCTATGTTTAGGCACATACATGTGTTACACTTGTGTGTCATATTTAGTATAGTGACATGCTGTGCAGATCTGAAACCTGGGAGCAACAGGCTGGACAATACAGCCTAGGTGTGTGGTGGGCTGGACTTCTGAGATGTGTAAGTGCATTCTGCGATAGTCCCACAGAGATGAGCTCACCTTATGACGCGTTTCTCAGAATGTATTCCCATTATTAAGTGACGTGTGACTGGACACATATGTATGTGGGATCCAGCTGAAAAAGCATAGAGATTGAAAGATGTAACTAAATAAATCATTTTGAAGGCAGCATTTCTTTAAATAAAGCAAAGAGTAGTTTAATCACACAGATAGAGGGCCTGACCATTCCTTCGTTTATTCATGCATTTATTCAATAAGTATTGGTTAAATATTCACTATGTGCCAGGGATTGTTCTAAAGAGTGAGTATAATAGGGACAAAACCAAATCTGTCACTCAGAGCTTACATTCCAGTGGGAGGAGACAGGAAATAGGCAAATAAGGACAAGTGGAGATATGTATGATTTAAAAAAAAGAAGAAGAAGGCTGGGTGTGGTGGCTCATGCCTGTAATCCCAGCACTTTGGGAGGCAGGAGGATCATTTGAGCCCAGGAGTTTGAGACCAGCCTGGGCAACATAGGGAGACTTAGTCTCTACAAAATAAGAAAAAATAATTAGCTAGGTGTGGTAGCACAGGCCTCTCGTCCCAGCTACTCAGAAGGCCGAGGCAGGAGGATACTGGAGGTGGAGGCTGCGGTGAGCCATGATTGTGCCACTACACTCCAGCCTGGGCGACAGAGTGAAACCCCAACTCAAAAAAGAAAAAAAAAGTGATGAGATTGATGGGAGAAACAGAGCAGGGGAAGGAGCCCCCAGAATATGGAAGTGGGTCCAGTTGTAGGTGGGGGGCTTTCAACTCCGACTGAGAAGATGACATTAGAGCCAACATTTGAAGGAGTGGGTCATGTGGCCACCTGGAGAGGACCCTTCCCGGGAGAGGGGTCAGCTGGTACAATAGCCCCAAGGCAGGAGAGCCGATGTGTTGAGATGTGAGGCCAGCGGGCTGGAAAGTGTGTGTAGCAGGAGGCGGGGCTGGCAGAGGAGGTGAGGGGAGAGTGGGCAGGAGGGAGGCAGCGGATCTTGCTGGGCTCTGTGAACCCTCCTCTGGACTTTGGATGTTCCTTAGAAAGATGGGGACCTTTCCGGTTCTTGGACAGCCTCGTGGAGTTGTATGCTGACTATTGGGCCAGGGAGGCCCTGGAGAGACTGAGATGGCTCTGGAGACTGCAAGTCTGAGAGCAAGGTGCCGGAGGGCTGGTGTCCGGTGAGGGATCTCAGGTGGCAGGTGACACCCCCCTGCTGTGTCCCATATGGCTTTTCCTTGTCCCGTGGCTGCAGAGAGAGCAACCACTCGGGTGTCCCTTTTTATAAGGACATTCGTCCTATGGAATCCACCCTCCCTTCCACCATGATCATTTAACCTCATGATTTCCTTAGCTACCGCCAAGTAGTGCCACACGGGGTTAGGGCCTTAACGTGTGAGTGTTAGTGGAAACACAACATTAGGCCCATGACAGATAGGAAGGTGTTTTTTTGGTTTTTTGTTTTTTTGAGTTGGAGTCTCATTCTATCGCCCAGGCTGGAGTGCAGTGGCATACTCATGGCTACCCCAGTGTTGACCTGTTGGGCTCTGGTGATTAGGAAGGTGATTTTAAGGAGATCCACCTTCATGAAGTTTCTGTACACAAAACCAATTCTGTAAATTTTTTTTTTTGAGTTGGAGTTTCACTGTCACCCAGGCTGGAGTGCAGTGGCACACTCACGGCCACCACAGCCTCAACCTGCTGGGATCAGGCGATCCTTCTGCCTCAGCCTTCCAAGTAGCTGGAACTACAGGCACGCGCCACCACACCCAGCTAATTTTTTGAGTTATTGTAGAAACAAGGTCTCTCCAAGTTGCCCAGTCTGGTCTTGAACTCCTGAGCTCAGGCAATCATCCCGCCTCCACCTCCCAAAGCGCTGGGATTATAGGCATGAACCACTGTGCCCAGTCAAATCTGTAAACTTTATCTCATTCACCTACTTGCATACCCTGCACATAGTAGGTGCTTAATAAATGCTCACTGGCTAACAATAGGAGATTCCCTGTTTTAGAGAAAGATTTGAACTGTTGAGTTCCTTAGTTTTAAGGACTTCTGGTGTGTCCTTGAAGGCGGTGTCAATCGTGTGAGCTTTGATTTTGGCGATTTGGGAAATAAATAGGCTAGATTTACCAGGAACAGCAACCTGACATCACAAGGAACCACTAGGCTCCAAGATGTGAGCATAGATGATGCTCCAGCCTGTGTGACAGCTCAGAGCTACTTCTGGGTCCCCCCGCCCCCACTGACAAACTCTGGGTTCTGGTTCTGTGTCGTTGTTGTTTAGAGTTTCAGACTTTGAAGAGCTTCTCTCCCCTGGCACTCTGGTCCCCCCTGTCGCCTTTTACCTAAATCACTACAGTGGCTTCCTAACTGGCCTCCCTGCCTCAACTGTTTCCCTGAAAGCTACCTTCCATACAGTAGCAGTCGCAGGCCCTGTCAGGCCCTTGGGTGGATTGCCATCTCACTCTCAAAACAACAGCCTCAAATCTGAGGTCAAAGCCATGGCCAGCTACTTGGGAGGCTGAAGTAGGAGGATCACCTGAGCCTGAAAGGTCGAGGCTGCAATGAGCCATGATCATTCCACTGCACTACAGCCTGGATGACTGAGTGAAACTCCAACTCAGAACAAACAATATCAACCCTTCCCACTCAGCACTCCCTGCCTATTGCTCTGTTTACCCAGACCTACCTTGTCACCATTTGATTGCATACACGTGTGCGTTTAATGCGTCCTTCCTAGCCAGGATGAAAGCACCCCGAGGACAAGGACTTGTTTTGTTCACGACTTATCCACAGTACCTGGAACGCTGCCTGTGCATAGCAGGACTCCATATGTATATGTATTGACTTAGCTGAATGTATATGTACACTTACCTCATTGAATAAATATTATCAGAGGGCCAAAGCCAACCTAGAGACAAAATATAAATAAAGTAAAAAGAACCCGCTGCCACTCGCAGTTCCCCGGTTTTGCCATCTGAACTTTCCAGCAAGAACTATTAGGGTCATATCTGTAAAGTGCTTTGAATTTCCTGGAGAACCGAAATCTCTGAGCCAACGCAGAATGTGGAATTTTCTTGAGACATGAAATCTTTGACTTGAGACTCATAAATGTGGCTGAAATATGCCCGTGGTGGCGTTTGGGTTTTTAAAGGTAAGAAAGAATTGAGGCATATGCTGCACTCACTTGGTGGAATTCCTGTTATTCACTCAAACCATAATTGTGTGGGAGGCAATTTTTATAGACAGAATGTTCATTAGTGCGAAAAAGTAAAGTGTGGTTGCTAAGACCGTTCAGTTAATTACATCCATGTGTACCTTCCTTGTCCGTGTATATCATGAACTCAATATTTTTATTAATATAGGGATGACTTCATCAAGTGAATTCTGGCTGTGACATACGGAGTAGAGTTAGAAATGAGAACTTGGCTTAAGAATGAAGGTGCCATCACTTAACTCTTGTTGGACTTCTGTGATGATAAAACCTTTACAAGCCATTTCTGTTTCTGCTTCAGGTTGGGGTATGCCAGAATTTCCCATGCTGGACTGAGTGATTCTGAAATTCAGATGGCCAAATTTAGGATCCCGGACAACCCCGTTCATTATAGAGACAACCAGAACGTGGTCATAGACCACAGGAAGGTTCCTAAGAAAATTCGCTTTAACCCCAGGTGAGTTCCTTTGGGTTGTGGACTGCAGTTATAGGCTCCTTGCCCCTCTAGGAAACTTACAGGTGGCCTCAAAATGAGCTAGGAGTTAGAATTGGTTCTGCAGGTGCATTCCAGGTGAGGGAGCCCACGTAAAGATAATAAAACCCTGCTTGGAGTGAAGTTACAGGCTTGGCTTTTGGAATTAGAAGCATGTTGTAACCTCAGGTGAAAAGGGGCACATCGTCATCATTGTTGTCGACATCTCTACAGTAGCTAGTGTCTGCATGCCACGATGCCCAGACCCTCTTCTAGGCACTCTGTGTGTTATCTTAATTAATCCTCATTGATTGGTCCTCTTGTGACCCCATCATAGAGATGCGGACGTGCAGGCTGAGGAACAGGAAATGACTTCACTAGACTTCCATGGCAAGTGTCAAAGCTAAGGAGCGGGAGGAAGCTGGTAGTGTATTGGGCCTGCTGGCTGCACGTTAGATTCTTCTGGGGAGTTTTTAAAGCTGCCATTGTGGCAGGCCCATTGACTCATGCCTGTAACCCTAGCACTTTGGGAGGCAGAGGAGGGAGGATCACTTAAAGCCAGTTCAAGAGCCACCTGGGCAACATAGCAAGACCTTCTCTGTACAAATTTTTTTTTTTTTTTGAGTTGGAGTCTCACTCTGTCACCCAGACTGGAGTGCAGTGGCCGCTACTGGCCACTGCAGCCTCGACCTGCTGGGCTCCGGCGATCCTTCCGCCTCAGCCTTCCAAGTAGCTGGAACTACAGGCACGTGCTACCACGCCTGGCTAATTTTTTGATTTATTGTAGAGGTGAGGTCTCGCCAAGTTGCCCAGGAGGGTCTCGAACCTGCGGGCTCAGGCAATCCACTCACCTCAGCCTCCCAAGGCGCGGGATTACAGGCTGAGCTACCAAGCCCGGCTTAGCTGTACAAAATTTAAAGCTAAATGCGGTGGCATGTACCTGTAGTCCCAGCTACTCAGAAGGCTGAGGTGGAAGGATCATCTGAGCCCAGGAGGTTGAAGTTGGGGTGAGTTGGGATCATGTCACTGCACTCCAACCTGGGCGACAGAGTGTGACCCCAAATCCAAAAAAAAAAAGGACCAAAACCAAATGCCAGCCCACCCTAGATCAGTCCATCAGGACCTCGTGGGGCTGTGCCTGGTCTAGGGATTTAAATAGTTCTTTCTGGGTCATTCTAATGCGCAGGTGGGTTAAGAACTTGGCGAGTGGATAGCGCATTTATATTGCAGATACTCTACCATGTGAACTGTATTGGGTTTGGTTCAGTTTTCTGTAGAGGTTACCTGATCAACCTATTTGCAGCACAACACATGACTTGGAATTTGTGTTCTTTTCTCCCCCACGACTGGATAATCAGAGAAACCTTCCTTGTAAATCAGACACAGAACATGGCCTAGGCATTATTATCATTTGACCTTTCTACTATTTTTTTTTTGAGTTGGAGTCTCACTCTGTCATCCATGCTGAAGTGCCATGGCACACTCACGGCCACTCTAGCTTCAACCTGCTGGGCTCCGGCGATCCTTCCACCTCAGCCTTCCAAGTAGCCAGAACTACAGATGTGTGCTACTACACCCGGCTAATTTTTTATTTATTGTAGAGATGAGGTCTCGCTAAGTTGCCTGGACTGGTCTTGAACTCACGGGCTCAGGCAATCCACTTGCCTTGGCCTCCCGAAATGCTGGGATTACAGGCTAAGCCACTGACCCCAGCCCATTTCTACTACTTTTACCAGCTAACAGCTGTAGAAGTTTCTCAGTGGGGTGGGGGGAGACCTCTTCCCACTCTCTTTTTCTTCCTTGTCTCTCCTGACAACAAGGGATAGTTGTAGTGAAGCCTAGGCAATGGATGGAGGAGTGTCTTTTAAAATTTTTTTATTTTATTTTAAATATGTGGGGTACCGTTCAGGATTAGGTATACAAGTGATCATCATACAGGTAAAGTTTGGGCCTCCCTTTGGTCCCCACTTTGCCTGGTTTGAGATCAGATACCTTACTAATGTTGTGTCCCCCAAACCACCCCGGCAGTATCCCACTACTGCCAATCCCTTTCTTATAGTATTATGATTAATGTTCAGGGTCCACTTATGAGTGAGTTCTTTGTTTCTGTGATAAATCACTGAGTATTATAGATTCTACATCCATCCAAGTTGCTGTGAAGTCCATGATTTTGTTCTTCTTTATGACTGCATAATATTCCATTGTATATATGTACCAATTTTTTTTAAATCCAGTCCTTTTTCGATGCACAGCATGGTTGGTTCCATGTTTTTGCTATTGTGAATGTAACTATGCCAAGAAGAAAGACATGAGCAGCTGGTGATTGAAAAGGTTTATTAAAGAAAAGAAAAGAAAGGGAGGTGGTGGCTGGCTCTATAGAGAGAAACCAGCCTCTGTTCTCTTGTAGGCAGGTTTACTGGGCACGAGAGGCAGTTTTAGGGAGTTTAGGCTTGGGCACCAAAAAGCAGTTTTGGGAGTTTGAGTTGTCGGCTGCCTGGCCTTCAAATGCAGATGTTGGTACTATTGAGTCTGATCCCTCGGCCTTGAAGTGCAGATGTCCGCATTAAACCAGTCACTATCAGGGATGTTGTTAATCACTTGTCTCTGAAATGCAGCCTTAGGAAAGCCAACACTGACAGTTGGTACCAGGACATTATCAGTCACACAGCTTTGGGATGTGGGTCTCGGGGAAGCAGATATTGGCAGTAAAGCAATTAGTAACAGGGCGCTGCTAGAGCACATTGTTAGCTTTTTTGGGCTGTTGCAACTCGGTGCTCCCTTTGCAAGGCTTATATGATGAGTTGTTTTAACCACAACCTTCTCTCCCATCCCCACTACAGTGAATAGTGCTGCGATAAACATACATATGCAGGTATCTTTTTTGTAGAGTGATTTAAGTTCTTCTGGGTATATTCCCAGAAGGGGGATTGCTGTTGTAAAGATGGCCAATTTCTAGTTATTTTAGGCATCACCACACTGTTTTCCATAGAGGTTGAACTAATTTGCATTCCCACTAACAGTATAGAAGCGTTCCCTTTTCTCTGCATCCTTACCAGTATCTGCTGTTGTTTTATTAATGATGGCCATTCTTACTGGAGTTAGGTGGTATCTCAATGTGGTTTAGATTTGCATTTTTCTGATGAGTGAGGCTGAGCATTTTTTCATGTGTCTGTTGGCTGCCCGTGTCTTTTGAGAACTATCTATTTTGCCCACTTTTTAATAGAGTTGTTTGATTTTTTTTTTTTTTTGAGTTGGAGTCTCGCTCTGTCGCCCGGACTGGGGTGCAGTGGCACACTCCTGGCTACCACAGCCTCGATCTGCTGGGCTCCGGCGATCCTTCCGTCTCAGCCTTCCAAGGAGCTGGGACTACAGGCGCGTGCTACCACCCCCGGCTAATTTTTGATTTATTGTGGAGATGAGGTCTCGCCAAGTTGCCCAGGTGGGTCTCAAACCCACGGGCTCAGGCAATCCACTCACCTCAGCCTCCCAAGGCTCAGGATTACAGGCTGAGCCACCGAGCCCGGCTTGATTTTTTTTTTCGACACATTTAAGTTTCTTGCAGATCCTGGATGTTAGGCCTGTCAGATATGCAGTTGGCAAATATTTTTTCCTAGTCTGTGGGTTGTCTGGAGGAGTGTCTTGATGGTTCCAGTTCCTGCCTTTATCTCACCCAGCATCGGGTGTGATAAGGTTGGGGGAACCTGGACTCTGGGGTTCAGGGCCTCACTCTTGCCAGTGAACAGCAGGGTCACTGTGGGCCAGATACTTCCCTCACTAAACCTGGAGTTCCTTGTCTAAAATGAGGGAAAGGGTCATGCCCACCTCCCAGCTTACTTGAGGTTTGAATGGCAAGGAAGGTCTTAGACTAGTGTGTCAGTCTCAATCAGTCCCTGCAATAGTAACAGCAGAAGTGAAATGGAAAGCTTACTTCTTTTGCTAATTGAGATGACTTCTTCAAGGGAAGCCTGAAAACCTGGGAGGAAAAGCTGTTCTTGTGTCCTGTTCTTTATCTACCAGGAGTGTGGCGAAATCCAGAGGAAATACTTTTGGCTAACCACAACTGTGGATCCAACCAAATCGACTGTGATGGGAACGAGGTTATTTTCCCACTCAGTTTAATTATGAAAATAACAAAAGCATAGGCAGGAGGCTGACCTTCATTTGTAAATTGTGGTGAGAATGTTGTCGACCTACTCTTGGCAATTTTCAAATGTACAACCTATTATTCTTAGCTAAAGTCATAATGCTTTACAATAGATCTCCAGGAGGATCCCTGCTAATTGAAACTTTGCATCTTTTTTTTTTTTTTGAGTTGGAGTCTCACTCTGTCTCCCAGACTGGAGTGCAGCGGCATGCTCCCAGTCACCATAGCCTCAACCTGCTGGGCTCCGGCAATCCTTCTGCCTCAGCCTTCCAAGTAGCCGGAACTACAGGTGTGCATTACCACGCCCGGCTAATTTTTGATTTATTGTAGAAGCGAGGTCTTGCCAAGTTGCACAGATGGGTCTCGAACCCACGGGCTCAGGCAATCCACTTGCCTTGGCCTCCCAAAGTGCTGGGATTACAGGCTGAGCCACCCACTGAGCCCGGCCTGTATCTTTTCACCAACATCTTTCCAACCCCTGCCTCCTCCTGCCCCTGATGGCCGCCATTCTCTTTGCTTCTGGGAGTTCAACATGTTTGGATTCCACCAATGAATGAAGTGATGAAGTATTTGTCTTTCTGTGGCTGGATTATTTTCACTTAGCATAATGTCTTCTCAGTTCATCTGTGTTGCTGCAAAGGACAGGATTTTCTTCTTTTTTTAAAGTTGAATAGTATTCCATATACATGGAAATGTATTAATATATTTTTATATAAACTTGTAGTTTATATATAAATATATATAAAATGGATAAAGAAAGAAAATGTAATATAAAGAAATATATATATTGCGTTTATCCGTTATTATGCCAGTGGACACTTAGGTTAATTTAATATCTTGG